TGCAGCGCCCGATGGTCCTAATCCTACCACAGTAAACCTGGGCTAGAGTCACCAGGAGCAAGGAAGGGCAAGTCCCAAGCTCACTTGCGAGTCTCTCCAACACCTGTCCACTCCCACTCACAGTACCCAGGAGACTTTAGGCCAGAGCAGACGCAGGCCAGATGGTGTAAGAGCACATTCAGCCCGGGTCTAACCAGGATGAACATCTATCCCAAACCCTGGGGAAAGCTGGGCTGTCTGAGGCTGATGAGCTTAATGTGCTGCTGTTGTTACTGTTTTCTGAGCACCCCTGGGTGCTGAGCACCGTGCTGGGAGTCACGGATGTAAAGCCCCATCCTGCGGACGTTCCATACCCAGCCACACAGGATGACAGAGTAGCTTCAGTGGGAGCATGTGCCCTGGAGCCCAACACACAGGGATGCACAGAGACACACAAACACACCTGGAGACCATGCCTGTTTTCACAGCCCTAAACAGGATGGCCCTGAAATGCCCAGCTTGGCTTCAGACAAGCAATGTGCTCACTTCGCAGGGTACTCTACAGCAGGTGTCCCCACAACATGGCAGGCTGGTGGGCCATATTGGTTGCATCCCAGCTACTCCGCCATCACAGATGGTCTATGAACAGAAAGCACTGCCGTGTCCCTGGAAAACTTAGTTATGGACATGGGAATTTGAACTTGGCATAATATTCATGTCACAAAATATTTTTTTCTTTGGCTTTCTCCCCCGACCCCAAACCTTTGAAACATATGAAAAATCCCTCATAATACTCTCAGGCCATATCAGGGAGGTGGAGAGCTGGTCTAGGGGCCGCAGCCCTACACTGTGACTCCATAGCAGAGACAGATGCCACCTACCTCTTATCAGCGGCATATACCTTAAAAGGCATAGTGTTGAGTCAAAGAGACACACCACAGAAGAATACACACAGCAGCATTTAAATTAGATCAAGTTCAAAAGCAGACAAACTAGGCTCCCACATGCTTTAGTGTGTGTGAGTTTCCATTCCCAGGGCTGAGACAAGAGAAACTACTCTCCCATAGTGACTTTGTGCTAAATGATGAAAGTATAAAGAAACAGGTCCAGGCTTACCAGCACCCCCATGTCCACAGTCATTCAGAAGAAAACAATACCTCTAAGGGAAGAAACAGCGTCTCTGGAAGAATGTCCTAGAATGTTCCAGAATGTTCTCTCTCTTGCCCCGTGTCTCAATCAAGCCACATGTTTTTTTGGGGATTGTATTTGTTATTCTTCACTGTACTTTTCAGTATGTGATTTATATTTCACGGTGACAATGAAGAAGGCATCGAGGACAGGACCTACTGGGACGGCGCCTGAACCTCCGCCAGACCGGCATTATAATCAGCTGGCAATGGTCTCACATCCCACCGCTCTGGGAGAATTTCCTCTTCAGTCAACAGAACCTCTCACTCTTTCTTTTCCCGGCTTTGTCTTCTGGCCTCCTGGCCTTTCCATGCTGTGCCCGTGTACCACCTCACCTGCTCTGCCCCTCTGGGTCCAGCCCCCAGCCGATGCCCTCTCCAGCAGGCAGCCTTTCCAGCTCTCCCTGAGCCCACCTCAGCACCGCTGCCTCTCTGCAGGCCTCTGCCTCCCAAGCTCTTTATTGGGATTAAACGAAGATGAAAGGCAGGGGCTAGTGGTGACAGAGGCTGGAGGGGCAGGAAGGGAAGCAGGAAGCCTTAGCTTGCAGAAGGCAGTGCTACTATTCATGTTTGGGGAACAAAGGGAGTGGTGACATCTGAGGCCAGAGAGCACAGTCAGACGCACGCGTGAACTCCATCTGGGTCCTGTTCCCTAGGACAAGTCTCATGATCTCCACCCAGCTATGACAGCAGCCTGGGCCTTGTTCACGTCTGTTCCCCATGGCGTCTAGAGACCTGTGGCCCTGGAGGCTCGGCAAGCCACTTCGATTCACTTCCTCCTCCACGGGTATTTGAGAGAGAAATCAGCATAGCTCCAAGTTTAAAAACAGTCAAAAGAGAAAAAAGGCTGACATTTGTCAAAGACACTGAGGCCCAGACACAAGCAGATTACCCCAGGTCACACAGCAATCAAAAGATGCATCTGAATCCCAGCATTTAAAAAACTGAGGCAGGAAGATGGATGGAGAGTTTGAGGCCAGTCAGGGCTGTACAACAAGTTCCAAGGTACATGTTGAAATCGTGTCTCAACAAAAGAAAGAAGGGGGGCTGGAGAGATGGCTCAGTGGTTAAGAGCATTGCCTGCTCTTCCAAAGGTCCTGAGTTCAATTCCCAGCAACCACATGGTGGCTCACAACCATCTGTAAAGAGGTCTGGTGCCCTCTTCTGGCCTTCAGGCATACAGACAGAATATTGTATACATAATAAATAAATAAATAAATAAATAAATGAAAAGAAAGAAGGACTAGCAAGGTGGTTCTGTGGGTAAAGGCACTTATGGGGTAATCTTGGCAATCTGAGCTCAATCCCCCAGAACCCATGTAAAAGTGGAAAGAGAGAACTGGCTCCACAATGCTGCCCTCTGGTCTGTGAGAAACACTTGCACCACACACCCAAACAATAATAATAAATAAATAAAATAAGAGGGAGGAAGAAGGAGGAAGAGGAAAAAAGGGAGGAGGAAGAGAAGGAGGACTCTTAGGGTATCAGGTGTGGTGATGCAAGCCTGTAATTCTAGCACTTAGGAGGAAGCTGAGACAGGAGGATTGCCATAAATTGGAGGGTATTTAGGAAGCCCTGTTTAATGAACGAGAGAGAGAGAGAGAGAGAGAGAGAGAGAGAAGGGAGAGAACGCTTGCGTGGTGCATGGATGTATGGGAGAGCCCTTAAAGCTTGCGGTAGGGGTGTGGGGGGAAGAGCAGAAGCTGTGACAGGCAGGGGGCAGGAGTAAGAGAGGGGCTGTGTGTTCCTGTAAGCAGCTTCAGAAGCGAGGGAGCAGGCTTTATTTTCTCATGCAAGAGCAGGAAGAACTTCTCTATGGCAGAGGGTTTGTTGCAACACAGGGGGAAAAATCTGTTTCTGTTTTGGTTTGTAGCTCACCCTCTTTCAAACCAGCTTTCCTGCGGCTGAAGTGGCTCGGCCAGCAAAGCCTCCTCCAACTCAGTCCTTGGCCTTTGGAGGGGAGAACCACACAGAGAAAAGATGGGAACCTGGGGGACAGTAAGTTAAATTGACTAAGTGGGGCTTTTCTTCTTATTTTAAGGTAGGGAATGAGGGTTGTTGAGGCAGGATCTCACTCTGTGGCCCAAGTTAGTCTGGAACTAATAGCAATTATCCTGTCTCCGATTCTCAAATCCTGGGATTACAGGCATGGGCCACAACACCTCGTGTAAGTGGAGGTTCAAACACACTGTCAGCAACAGGCACAGTCTAGCTTTTGCCTGGTTTTACATAGGCCTGGGGTGAGCAGTGTGGTACACACTGAAGGAGACAGACCACAGGGTTGTACCCCAGCCTGCGATAGAGGCTGCACAAACTGGATCCTGCCTCCCCAGTGTAAATGTTCCTATGGAGAATGTTCTTTGCAAAGAAAGTAACAGGACCAGCAGAGCCTCCTGGACAGGGTTCTGGCTGGGCCGAAGCTGAGTCTGAAAATGACCCTAGCCTACAGCCTAACCTCTGTTCTATCGCCTGACTTCATGTGGACAGACCTCCGTGGGTTTGTCTCCCGCTCAGCGAATGGGGGCGGAGGACGTTCAGTGCTGGGTCTGTGTGAAGGTTCAATAAACACTAACTCCTGGTTATCAGGAGAACTGTTTGTGATATAAATGGAAAGGGGGATGTGACACTATCAGGGCAGAAGCAACTTCCTCGTCACCTCCTCAATGTCAAAGCAGCACTGGGGAGGGGCCTCAGCGGGAAAAACGCTCGCAGCGCAAGTGTAAGGACCTGAGTTCAAATCCCTAGAATTCACATAAGTCACAGTAGCATGTGTCTATAATCCTATTGTTCCTGCCACAAGCCTAGGGGACACAAACAGAATCCTTGGAAGCAGGCGGGCCAGCCAGCCTGGCATGTGCAAGCAGTGACAGACGAGCAGACAAACAGAGAGAAATGCTGTCCCAAACAAGGTGGAAGGCAAGGAGGGACACCTGAGGCGAGCCTCCGACTCTGCACACTCACCACGGCACGCACACACTCTTATCAAAGAAATAAATAGAAGTCAAACTGAGAAGGAAGAGCGTTCCATTTCCACAGTGGGATACCTTGGGTCAGTCACATGCCAGCTGCTAGCCAGGCCAGGGCAAGGGCAGAGCACCTGGCAGATCTTCCCCAGCACTTCCAGGGAGTGGTGCTAGCTATCCTGAGAAGGACACCTCGGAGCTCCACTGCCTGGACAAACTCGCCCCTACCCCACAGCCTGCTGTGGATCCAGACCTTCCCAATTCCAAGGGAGCCTGGAACCAGGAAAAGGCAACAGTGTTGGCCCTAGGGACACTCACTGGGGTCAAAATCCTGGGCCTCTGGCTGTGTTTATGGAATTGGGAAGTGTGGCCCCTCTCGAGAGACCTTAACAGCAACTGTGCCCCCAGACGCCATGCTCTGGCTGGCTACCGTCCTGTCCCTGTCCTCTACAGTGAACCAACCACCAACAATAGCACCCAGGGCAGCTCTGCCACCTGGCAGATTCAACATGAGAAGTCTACCAAAGCCCCCATGTCAGAGCTGTTTTTCCCTGTGCAGATTCCTCTCCTGACCTCAAAACCCACACCCACCCTCCTTGTTTAAGGACCAGGGGCCCAAGCTATGCTGTCAGGGAAGCTGTTAACACCACGGTGAAGACACGGCGCTGTCCCCCACCCCTTCAAACGCCACCTTGGCAAGGCATTAGCTAAACATCTCCTGAGTCCCCAAAGGCTTCCCCTGTGAAGTCTACAATGTTCAAAAGCAACCAGCAAATCCCCAGAGACGGGTCCCGAGAATTAGTGGCTCCCGCTGGATGAAAGACACTCTGATGTACGTGAACAAGAGGACGTGAGGAGGAGACAGACTTGCCTGCTAGCTGCAGGGTCCAGGGCACCAGCAGCAAACGGAGGAACCACCAAGCTGGGAGGCAGCTGGGAGGATGCAGGCATCCCACCCCAGCCCCACACCATGGAAACCAGCTCTCCATCCAAGGCAGCAGCAGCCGCTGTGAACGGGACACTTCATCAAAGTCTTTCTTCCTCTTTAGCTCATTGGAGGCTCTGGCCCCTGCTGGCAGCCACAGTTCCCTTTTGTGTCCCAGTAAGTTCCTCCTCTGGACGCCTTTCTGCTTCCTCAAGCTGTTCCCCTTAACTCCGACTTCCCTCTGAAAGAGTGGGGGCAGCCTTAGTGGGGGTTCCAACAGAGAAACAGTCTGGAACTCCAACTTGTCAAGCCACACAGTAGGAAAAGAGCTAGGGGTGGGGACCTAGGCCTCCCCAGGCCAACATCTGTCTGTTTCTGTCCTCCTAGGGCACTTGCAGTATGGGACCCCTGTCCAGGAAATAGCGGTGCTCCTTGGATTGGTACCTTACACTTCTAAAACCCTGAAACCACCCACAATCCCACTTGCTCAGAAATCTCCTCTGCAATGTTCCTGCACCCCTTGATAAGGTATCCTGAAGACTAGGGTTTCTTTGGGGCGCGGGTGGCTGGAGCATGGGGCAGTGGAAGGGTACAGTGGAGGGGTGGAAGCCAACTGCAAGGCCAAAGGGCCTGAGCCACTTGTCCCAGCCTCCGTGGGAACCTAACACCTCCAGAGAAGGCACTGGCCAAGTAGGGCCTGGCAAGGCCCTTCAGAGAAAGTCCTCCTGGTTCACCTTAACTGTCCCCACTCCTCCTGGAGGTTTCCCTAACCTGGGTTCACTCCATGCTCCTAAAATGAGACACAGGCACTGCTTTCCCATGATCTCTGCTCTCACTGGCCCTACTTTTCTAGGGGCACCAGCACAGGGGCCCAGCACAGTGATGATCTACTGCCAACCCTTAGCAGACGCTAAGGAGAACTCTTGAGGTCCTGGAGCCTTATGTCTGTCACCTGAGAGGCAGGGGTTGAGCGGGCAGGTGGAGGAAATCAACAGGAAGGGGGCTGAGTGCCAGATCTGCTGAGTACTGGCTTTTCTCATTAGTGTCATCAACCAGAGAGAGAGGCCTGCATGACCCCACCCCAACAATGAAAAACTGCAGCCTGAAGAGGTGAAACAACTTGTCTACAATATGGACAAGTCTGTGGAGGCACGACCTGGAAGGCCAGACAGAATCACACCTGGATTTTCTTTGCCATTTCAGACACCACGGTGGAGGTTGGGCACATGGCTGAGGCCCCACAATGTCACCACGGGACTTGTGTTAATGTCTTGCCTAAATCCCTCCCCTTTGGCCTCTGCACAGTAACAGTGAAAGCTGTAAGGTGTTGGGGAGCAGGAACCCTGAGGCAGGAGTGTAGAGGCAAGCCATAGGCCACCCACTTGCTGAGGAAGACACGAGCAGGAGAAGATGCATTGCGAAGGGGCGGGCCGGGACCCAGGAGGTATTGGCTGTTGATCCATCAAGGTGATACATGATCGCGGGTGTCACAGCGAAGCACGGATAATCTGCTTCACGCCGCTCCCCAGCTCCTGCCGCGAGCAGGTTGTCTAAGCACTCCGGTGCCATGGTGATAGACGTCACGTTAATGCCTCGGTGCACACAGGGAGCATTTTAAAGGCTTCGGTCTGTGCCTCCGCGAGTTTCCTCATGACTTGGCACCTGTGCGGCACCCGGCTTCTCCAACACTCGTGCTGCCCCCGTTCCTGCCCAGGTGCCAGCTCGCTGCTCCCGCCTGCATGCGCTCTGCGCTGCTCGGCATCCCTGAGACAAGCCTCGGTCCCTCATAGCCTACCTGCACCTACGCTGCAGGCAGTGGGGGGCCTCATGGGTCCCTCTTGCACACATAACAAGCCATCTGCTCTCCTGTCTCCTGCAGACCCTCAGCTCTACAGACTTCGTCCCTGAGAAGGATGTTTGCTCAGAGGTCAAGGGCTGCCCAGGCTCCAGGTGGGGCTGATGAGGCCCACACCTACACCACAGCTGTGCAGCTCAGCTAGGACTGTAAGAATGGAGACTGAGTCACTAGATCACTGTAGGGCTTCTGATCTCCTGGGGAAAAGAGCCCCTCTGACCCAGGTGACCACACGCAGGAAATTAAACCACAGCCCTTTCAGAAGCCTAATGGTTGCCACAACTTTCCGGCTTCCTGACACCCTGTGCTGTAAATGGCAGACTAGCTGGATTCCATTCGTTGGTTTTTCCTGGCCTACGCCCTGGGCAGGAGCCACGAACAAGCAGAACGAAGGCCCGGATGGTACTGAAGAGGAAGACAGAAAAGATTGAGGCGTCACAGCTCTGAGCTATGCCTTCGAGCTTGATTTTGTAGATGACCTCACTGGGGGCAACACCTCTTGGTCACGGCTTGAGTCTTGCTACGCACCCACCCACTTACCCCACCCTTTACATCTCGCTGGGCACACCCTCTACCTAAACCGCTGGCCTTCCGAACAGATACAGAAGGGTAAGAGAGCCCAGCTTTGAGGAACCCTGTCTGCAGGGAACCAGATAAATTCAGGATGCCTGTGTGGCCCAGCCTAGCTGTTGATGTCAAATATCTCTAATTTAATGCTCCCATTTTATATATGCAGAAACTGAGACACGGGCAAGACAAAGTAGTTTCTAGCCAGTTGTCTTGTCCGGTGGTTCTCAACCTTCCTAACACTGTGACCCTTTAATATAGTTCTTCATGATGTAGTGACCCCCAACCACAAAATTATTTTTGTTCTTGCTACTTCATAACTGTAATTTTCCTACTGTTAGGAATTGTAATGTAATGCTGGTCTTAGGCGACCCTGTGAGTCTTCTGACCCGAGAGGGAGGGGTCGGGACCCACAGGTTGAGAACAGCTGCACTAGACTGAGTACCTGAAGAGCCGAGCAGCACACAGAGCAGAGGGATGTCGGGGAAGGAGCAAGCATGGTGGGTTCCTAGCGGGGCTTCGTGGACGGCCCCGAAGGATATGGCCTCTCGCAGTCCCTCATGGGCACCTGCATACTAAGACTAAAACTTCCTAGGAAGGATGGAGTCACCAGCCTTCATGTTCTGTTTACTTCATGGATATTTCTGGTGTGTCAGGCAGTGAAGATATAAAACCTAAACCAGAATTTTGCCCTCAGAATGTCCCAAGACAAACAGACCCCAGAAAGGGAGCTGGGAGCCAACCGCTGCTGCCTGGCCTGAGCTCAGAGGATCCTCTCCCAGAGGCAGAAGTGCCAGGACAAGAGACCCCTGGCCCAGCTTCACGTCACCTCTTTCTCCCCAAGACTCCAGCTCCCAAGAAATCTATCAGCAAGGAGACCCCGGCCAAGAGTGGCCCTCTGTTCCGTCCTCGTAGTTAAAACATGAGGGAACCATTCTGCCGGTCCTAGGGACACTTCTGTCTAGGATGTCAGAGGGACATCTTCCTGTCCTCCCAGTACCTCGTGTGCCCAACAGGGGCAAGGGCAACCTTCTGTCCTAGGGACACTGGGTTTGCATTTGGGAAGGACCCTCTCCAGTACCATGTAACTGATCTGTAGTTAGGTGCTGCAGGCCTCTGGCTGAGCCAACCATCGGCCTGACAAGTCTGACTGGGTCCTCACCAGCAAGAGGCAAGAGAACTGTCAGTGACTCCAGAATGGACGTTGATACAACCATGTGTTGATCCGCAGTGGCCACCTCCTTACCTAGGAGGGGATGAACTCAGCCACTGGAAGCAGGCAAGCCCACCTGGGACCCATCACCCCGCATGCTGATGGGAGGTTCCTGCCCTGGCAAGAAGCCCAGGCTGGCCCATCTCCAAATCCCTTCTCAGTTCAGGCTGCCCTATATCTTTGGTTGTTCCTTCCACATCAGACCTAGTTTTAAAGGCTTCTCGTGTGTGCTGCCTCCACTCTCACGGAAACCTCATGTGGGAGGAATTATCATTGCCCCTAATTTACAGATTAGGAAACTGAAATCCAGCGACTCAAACCGCTTGCCTCAAACCCCACAGCGAGGAAGCGGCCAGGTAGGAACTCAGAATCCTGCGACTGCCCTTTGACCCTGTGTGCTCTTGCCGTCCTCCGGATTTTCCAAAGCTGCCGTCCTAACCCTCATTTTACAAATTTAATGAGAAGAATAGGATAAACTGCCTGTTTGGAGGTGGCAAAGGGGATCAGAGGGCCTAAGACCAGCATCTGGCGTTTGCCTGATAAATGCGCACCCACAATAAGACCCATGTCTAGAAATAATGAAAAACAAAGGCATTCCAACATTTCTTTCATGTTCACCATGCAATCTTGCGGGGCTCTTGACACGGCTGTGTCACTGGAAGAAACAAGCACCACCCAGGAAGCTAATTGCTGGAGGTCCCAGGGAGCAGCTGTCAAAGCTGAGTCCTGTGCTTCTGCCACGGGATTTCCCTTCTGGCCATGATGGACAGCCCTGGGACTGGTCTGTGCCGATGGCGCCACCTGGTGGCTGACATGGGAATGCCCTCAAATGAGACGCTCCCACCCCCCCACCTCCTCCCCACCCCCTTTTAAGGAGCCTGGGCCACTCAAGAGGCCACCACCTTGCCAAGTTAGGCCCGGGCATGAAGGGCGGCAGTGTGGGGCAGTAGGACAGAGGTCAGGGACAGGCAAGGATACAATGTGTCCAGGAGGTGGCAAATCGACCTGCTGAGGCCCTGCCACCCTTTGGAGGTGAGGAGGGAGGTGATCAATTCACTTCTTTCAGACAGCTGCGTCTACTGGAAGCCCTTTCTAATCTCTTCTGGGGGAGCCTCCTCAGCTGCTCACTGACCGCCAAGCAAACCCACCCCATCTTCTGGAGGCACAACCAGGGACTTTCCAGACTCGTTCTCCAGGGGCAGTCTCAGCCAATTAAGGGAACAATTAGCTTCCCTGAGGCAAACTCATGCTTTGTCAATCCAGCTCTGTGCTTCTATGGGACTTGTGTATACAGGCTCCTCCCTCCCCGCGTGTGCATGCCTGTGTGTGTGTGTGTGTGTGTGTGCACGCGTGCACGTGTGTGCTGTGATCCCACCTTGAAACTTTGGTGAAGAAAGAATCGAAGAAACCGAGGTGAAATCACTTGGCA